TAAAATTGACAATATGTTCAAAGTTTATTTATCATTTAATTTTTATAAAGAATTTATGTGTGTAACATAAATTTGTATTTTTCATTTAAGTATTAAAATTCAGATACAATTAACTCAACCAAGACACGCCACAGGCCGTCAAATTTTCTGGGGAAAACACTGGTAATAGTCCAGTATTCTACATTTCCTTACACTTTACATCCATGTCAAGCATGTAAGCCATTGTGGCCCTTCAGGCCCTTCCAGGCCTTTGATTAAACTATTCTGCTGAAATAAATATTAAATTATCTTAGAGAAACTACCTAAAAATACCTTTTTTGAGTAAAATTCAAATATGTCCTGAGGCAACCCTGTACTTACTTTTGGTGTAAATGACCTCTAAATATATATATTGTGCTTTGGAATGTCTGAGTGAGATTTTGGGGTTGAGACTTGGACAAATTTGTAATTTTCTTACTGGATAAATATAGATTTAAATGTCCTCTTAATCCAGATATGCATACACCTTGGCTTTTAATTGATTGATAAATATTTACATTTCCAATGAATTTCCCCTATGATTCTTTACAAAATAAAATGCAGTATACTTTCTCATGAACTACATTACGTATATAACACGAATAAGCATGAATATCTCCATTGTTATGTCATAATACATGTACCGCTCTTGACGTCAAAAAATACAATGCACACTGATTTGCTTCAAAAATGACAGTTGAAAGGCATAAATTTATGGCATGTCATCAGAAAAAAATGTAAATCTAAGAAATGAATTTAATTTTTGAAGATTCATGAGGTATATGAACTGTAACAATGCTTCAGCGCCTGCATATTTATCATGAGCGCTGACAAATTATTTTCAAAATAATACGATTGTCATTAAAATGAAATTGTTTGCTTAAGGAAATTAAGTAATTAATGAATTAGCAAAGTTTAGATTATATTAGCTCATGATATTTTTTTTTTTCAAACAATGTCATTTAAGAAGGAAATATATTTTTACTGTTAATTAACAGACACATATACATGTACATAGACATGTAATATATATGATTGTCGCATATCTGCGGTGATTTTCTTTGATCTTTGTGTGGTGATATATCCCATATCACATATGCGATAATACTTTCCACGCCCCTTCATATATCACTGCAGGAGGCAGAAATCAAGTCATGAGAAAAAAAACTAATTTTATTTCACAAGTTCATAACTACAGAAAAATGAAGATGTTAAGCTATTTCTTAGCCTTTAACTAAATTAAAACACAACTCGGTTGAAAGTTCCCAGTCGTTCAAAAGATTAATCCATTTTGAAATTTTGAAAGTTACGGAAAAATCTCCAAACTTTATATCGTTAAACTCCTTGATATTTGCTTCTGTGATTTCACATTTGTCGAGTGCTAACCTCAAAAATAAATTGTCAAAATCTTCAAACTCAGTTAAAAAGTCAAAGACAAATTCACGAAGAACGTCCGACATGTTGGAGAGCTAGCTTGAAATGAATTTTAAGTTAATGACTCTGAATATTTTTTTTTAATTTTGACACTCTCAATGAAATTTACGTCATCAGACATGCGACAAGTTGCTTACATCATAGATGCCTCGTACTATTGGTTATATCGTTTTCATGGGGCGTGGAAATCTCGGGCGCTCCGCGCCCTCGATTTCCACGCCCCCATGAAAACGATATAATCAATACTACTCGGCTTCTATGATGTAACCTATACATAGAAACGCTAAATGGTATTTCTAGGTATAGTAATTCTACTTCTTGTTTTCTAAAAGATGGGATATTCAATTCATCGCCAAATTTGTTATACAGCCATGATTTCTAAATTACAAAAGGTGGTGGTTTATCGAGATTTAACTGTAAATTTATTTGATATTATAAAAATATTATTTTTGACTTTTATAAGCTCACTCAAGTGAGCTTTTCTGATCACATTTTGTTCATCGTCCGTCTGTCTCTCCAGCTGTCTGTCCGTCTGTAAATTTTCACATTTTCAATTTCTTCTTTAGAACCGCTGGGCAAGTTCCAACCAAACTTGCCACAAAGCATCCTTGGGTAAAGGGGATTCAAGTTTGTTCAAATATAGGCCCACACCCAAATTTAAGGGGAGATAATCAAGAATTAGTGAAAATTTGGTGGCATATGTTTTGAAAATCTTCTTCTCAAGAACCACTGTGCCAGGAAAGATTAAACTAAAGGGTTTTAAATAGAAATCATATAGGAAAAATCTTTCAAAATCTTCTTCTCAAGAACAGCAAAGTCATGATTTGTCATACTTATATACAAGCATCCTCAGGTAGTGTAGATTCAAGTTTGTTCAAATCATGACCCTTGGGGGTAGCGTGGGGCCACTAGGGAAGATCAAAGTTTTACATAGAAATATGTAGGTATAATCTTTAAAAATCTTCTTCTCAGGAACAGCAAAGCCATGATTGGTCATAATTATATGCAAGATTCTTAGGTAGTGTAGATTCAAGTTTGTTCAAATCATGACCCCCTGGGGTAGGGTGGGGCCACGAGGGACGATCAAAGTTTTACAGAGAAATGTATAGGAAAAATCTTTAAAGATCTTCTCAAGAACAGCAAAGCCATGATTGGTCCTACTTATATGGAGGCATGCCATACTCAGGTAGTGTAGTGTGTCCATTAATTAGCCACAGTGCTCAGGTGAGCGATGTGGCCCATGGACCTCTTATTTCTGTTTTAGTCCACACAAGGATATTGTTCAGAGAGTGCAGTACCTAAAGAGCAGCAACAGATATGTCTCTATCAGTAAGGTCAGTTACCATTCTGATTTGTTGACAGGGGAATACTATAAATGATCCTTGTTTCTGATTGGTTGTCATGAAGTAGTCCTTGTTTCTGATTGGTTGACAAAAAAATACTATATTTAATCCTTATTTTTGATTGGTTGATATGAATATACTTTTAAAAAATCCTAGTTTCTTATTGGTTGACAGGAGGGTACTGTTGGTATCTGGGGCCCGGATCTGAAGTTGTCCCGATCGTTCCGGATTGCTACAGACTCATGTAAAGCCCGAGATCTCTGGGTAACCCACTTTGTAGCTCTACAGAACATCAATAAAATTGCTGTGGCCTTCACTTCAAAGGAGATTGGTAAGTTATTGAAAATTTCTGTTACTTGTTTTCAAACATTAGAATTGCTGTGAAACTACCTTAGTTTTAATTATCAGCATGATCTAGTTACTTTCTTTTATTGGACTAAACTTGTAATAGGGGACATTTAAGGTCACAAATGTTAAAAGCCATATTGCAGATCTTTTCAGTACTCATGTTACGGTGATATTCACAGTTCAGTATGTTCATTTTAGCATTTTTAAATCAATACATGGTACCATACCTGACCTTTGTTAATAGGTCTCTTCTCAGTTTATGGTCTTAAGGCCAGATTCATTAAATCTTCCTGAAGAATGTCATCTTTTTATCTGAGGTAAACATGCTTTTTTTATTTTTTACAGCTATTTATGACATGGGAAACAAGCTGGAATTTAACTGTCAGTACAAAGTACAGGGCATGGAGTTCACTCCCCTGTGTCTGGATTACTGGTAAGAGTTCTTTCCCTTTGGTTGCCATTTCAGCAATATACCATGTATATGTGTGTATATATACCATCATGACCACTCTTAAATTTAACTGTTATTTTTTAAAAAAATTAAATTAAAAATTAAATTTATAATTGATTAAGAATTTAAATTTATTTTTTCTTACCTTTTAAGATATGATCCTAAATTTCGATAACTTTAAGCTTAAGGACTAAATTTTGATTAAGAATTAATTAATTTATTACGTAATTTGGTTTGTTTTTCTGATTTTTTAAGGTATAACCCTAAGGATGCCAATGAAGCCATCCTGTGCTGGGGTGACGTGGGGGGCTATGTGAACTGTTTGTTCTTTAATTCGGCCAATATCGCTCTGTTTGAACGACCGCCAGCGCCAGCCGGGGAAAAACAAGGTAATGTATGGGAAAATCGTACGTGGAATTAAATCTGTATATTGAGAAAAATATGTTCTAAGAAATTAAAAATAGTAAAGTCCAACACACACACAAGGTTAACTGAGATTTGGTTGCAAGGAGAAATTCTCATAAGAAAAAAATATAGTATAGTATCCTTAAAGAAAAGAGAAATGAGTTCTGTTACTGAGAAATTAAGGGCTATCTGAATTAAGGAAAAACTTAAATAATTACATAATCTCCCATAGCCATGCACCTACTTAAAGATTAAAGATGACCCATTTTGATCGGATCCTTTGAATCAGACAATGAATTTATGCATGAACATTTTATTTTATTAACAGCATGTATTTTTGCATGACTATTATGTTTTATCCCATGCCTTTCATTTTAAGATGTGCTTATCTTGTACATGTATTATGTGGGCTTAAAGCTGTCGTGCATGCATGAAATTTTTGTTTGAAACCCTGTGCATAATAAGATTTTTTTAAATAAAGGAAATCTATAGTAATACACAAGACGATTAGTATTTGATATGGTGAGGTTAGGAAAGGAGTGTTAGTCTTATACTTAATAGGGTTATAGGAATAGATTGACGTAAAATTAAAGCAACAGTGCAAGTGTAATAATTTGATTAAAGATCATATATTTAAACAATTCCTGTCACTGGTATGTTAGATAATTAAATACCAGATGTCGCTAAAAGATATTGTATGCCAAATTTGGTTAAAATTACCAATATTAAACAAATAAATGTCAAAGATTATCTAAAAAAAATTTATTCACTTGACCAATGGGTCAATCTCCCTTCAGATTTGGAGTTTATGCTTAGAAAGATGTTTGGTAGGTAATTAAAAGATATAATTTTCCTCTG